TATTAATAAATAATATAAGTAATAACCACTAAACCACTAACCTGCACACCCGTATATAGTATTAGGATAAATAGTATTAGTATATAACTATTAACTATATAAGTTATGTGTATATCTTAAATTTGTATACTCAATTTCGGACTTAAATAAAATATGCTCGTGATATTCTATAAAATATAAATAGCTAAAAGATCTAAAATATTTAAATCATATCTAGAAAAGTAGAAAAAACTTAAAAATTTCAAATTTTAACGGATATATTGAGTATCTACGTTTTTGAATTATATCAAGCAAGCCAAATCGATAAGTAACTAGTATTGCGTAAATAAAACTTTTAACCCCACAGTACGAAATAATTAAAATATAATTCATAGGGCTCTGAAAACCCTCTCTGAATTATCTAAATATAACAGGATCCCCAACCCCATTACATTCCAATTTGCTACCAGAAAAAGCTGAAGATTTAACCATTTTTACAAGCCTTAAATGAAATCGATGCAAATAAATAAAATATGTAATATGTATGGTAATTTTTTTTTTTCTAATAGCTAGTATATTATGGATTATTAGAAAGTTTTTAATTGAATTTAAGTATTTCTGTTGACTGTTAAATGTTAATGATATTAATTTTATTGCAAATTAGGATGATAGATTTGAATATTTTTTTTATACATTTTCATTAAAAATACAATCACGATATAATATCTTCCAAATTACGAATCTAAATCTTAATTGGTCATTAGTTAAAATTATAATTTTTTCATGTTTATTTTATTTCTAAGAAACAAAAATATAAATCCTAATTTTATAATATTATGATGTTAACACAAATACAGAATTGTTGTAGCCATGTGAAAGCTAGGCCCATGATGCGATTGCATCCCAACATCTCTTATTAGTTGTGTCGCTACAAATTGCAATGCATAATAATATGTCAAATTAATTAATATTATTAGGTATGTATTCTAAAAATCTTATCCATGTTATTTTATTGAAATTATTACATTAATTGACTTTGTGAACAGGAAAATATATAAGTGTGTACTTATTTTTTATTTTATATAATATGCTAATACTATTTAAATTTAAATTAAGTTAAAATATCTACTTATTAACCTTCATGATTTATGACATACTAATGGATAGCAACTCTCAAGTACGCTTAGATTAGAGCTCAATAATTGATTTTTTTTAAATATAAATATAATACTAATACTATTATATAACATTAAGTCATAAATAATAAAATAGTCATTAAATATGCTATAATAAAAAAACAAAAGATTTTAACACTGGAATAGGTTGTATAACTATTCAGGATATCATTGGGATATCAGGAAACATGAAAGAATGAATGCAAAGTTCAACTACTTATACATATTATGTCCTTTACAGTTTAAACCATTTATATGTATTATGTATTATATTATATTATTATTAATTATATTCAATAAAAATTAAATTGAAAAAAGTGAAGATGATCCAAGATAAAATTAATGTAAATTTACAAAATATAATAAAATGCTATTAAGTTATTTAGGTATATTATAAGTATACCTAAATTAAGTATACTAAAGTAATTACCTAATAAGTATAATATAAGTTATAACATATTGAACTATCTAAATATCTAACTTTGACTAAATTTGAACTTAAAATATGAAATATTTATCAGAAAGATTGTTTTCAATTTTAAATTTTTAACTATAAAATTTAACATTTTATACATTTTTAACTAAAAATAATTTACAATTATTGTGGTTTTTATGAATTTTGCATAATTTAAACTTTTAATTGCTTAGTAAATTGTTAAAATATTTAAACTGAGCAAAAAATAGTTTATCTGTAATAATAATTGAAAAAACCTAAATTAAACAACAATTTCTCATGCCTATAAGAAGACCAAAAGTCTACATATTTTGAAAATTTTATCTTGTACCTATGGTAAATGGTCAAAATAAAACTGATTTTGTAAAAATCTAGTTTAGGGTAAAAATTTCAGTTTTTTTTATTTGTCCAGGTGCTTTTGAAAATTACTGGGAATATTTTACTTATAATCCCCCAAAGTACCAACTATAGATTTCCACCAGAAAAGGTGATAAATTAGAAAACAAAGAATTTTTACTGACCCAAAATCTAATGACAAGACAGTAAAAAAAAAAAATAACTTGTCATTGTAAAATCAAAAGTTAAGCTCAGTCTAAAAGTTTATTCAAATTCATTGTGGTATCAATGTTTGGAGGTTTAGTAATAGATTTTGAATACAATTGACAATTTCTATGAAGTTTAAAAATTACAAAGTATCAAAAATAAAATGTAACTGTGTAATAGAAACTATTTAGTTAAATCAATTTTGGTCAATAGATGTTAAACAATAAATTAATTTGCAACAGTTCAGTATTTTATTGAAATATGTATATTAAAATTTAAAATGTATATCGTATTAAGTATAATATTAAAGAATTGTGTATATTATTTGAAATCCAATTTTATGAGTTAATGATTAACATTCATCATAGGTACAATTAAATTTAATAAAATTAATGAATTTCCTTGATAATAGGTATAATATCGTTATTCCTTAATACACTAACACTAACCCCAAGTATTTTTGGTAAAAAACAAATTATAATAGTATGTCATCTCATATTAAGTCAACATTTTGTTAAACATAAAATAACCTTTGACCTAAAGAACAAATATTAAAATTTATAAGGTACATATACAAGACTTAACTATGTTCACAAGTCACAACATAGGTTTCACATAACATTGTTTAAATAAAATATTAATAAAATACTTGTTATACTTATAGTAATAACTTAAAATCTATTTCACAGGAATCTCAAACAATATACAAAATGTATTTAAATATTTATGTAGGTATATATATGTAAACATGCATAATATTGTAATTATTAAATAACTAATTTAAAAATATCCCGATTGCTAAATGTACCTATAATGAAAAATTTGTTATCACAAAATGCATACATTTAAATGTTACTCTAGCCATTCTTATGATACAAAATATTATTATATACTTTGAAGAGCTTAAACCAAGTGTTCATACCGAAGTCATTTCAACTTCTAGCCAAGAGGTGTGTACTCAGATTGAGATAAAAAAAAAAAAAACAACCATTAAATTTGTTATCCATTTGGCAACGAACAATTCTGCAAAAAAAATGTAACAATTTAAAAATCACGATTTTAAACATTATTGATTTTTAAGAATATCAAAATATAACATAGTACAAGTCAGTTGGACAGATCGACGTTTGCTAGGAACTGAAACAAACAACAAGTATGCAATAAAAACGTACGTGGAAACGGAATGAAAACACAGGATTGAAAATAGTTGCAAGTCAAAAACGTCAGATAAAACCATTATTTTAATACTTGCGCGTTTTGGTAACAATTAAGGACAACACACGTTTTCCGAGAAATGATTTAGCTCAGAAAACATCGTGTGTTCCTGGACATGGCCATCAGAAGTGAAGGGATGAAAACACAGGATTGAAAATAGTTGCAAGTCAAAAACGTCAGATAAAAAACCATTTTAATACTTGCGCGTTTTGGTAACAATTAAGGACCATACACGTTTTCCGAGAAATGATTTAGCTCAGAAAACATCGTGTGTTCCTGGACATGGCCATCAGAAGTGAAGGGGTATCCGTATCAGTATTCAGTACTCACCGTATCAGCGCCCGACGGCGCTCACATTCTATCATCGGACGTTGCACGTTAATGAACCTTATTACTTGGTACAATTAGTTACGCCAAAAATTAACGACTTATAAATAAACAAAAATTAACTACAGCAGTACATGTTTTAATGATAATGATAATAATATAATATTATAATATAAATAATCGTGTTACAAAGAACAATCATGACTTGGATTAGAATATAGAAATATTATAACAGACAATTAAAACGGAAATCTAAAAATAAATAAAGTCCGGGCCGTCGTGTATACACTATAATAATATAAGAGATAATAGATAATATTATGGTCAAATAATTAGCTTTTATACTAAATAACACATGTAGACAAATCCTATGTAAAACAAATATGCAGTTACTGAAAAAATGAAATATATAAAACATAATATTCAAAAATAATATTGTACCCAGGTATATACGTCAAAATGTGGTTTTTACCCGCATTAATAACGAGCAGGCTCGTTATCGTCACAACCGGTTTTAACTGGATACAAACTATAATAATCGAACTATTGTGATGTTTGAATTGTTTAAAAATAGCAGCCCAACATGGTATTACCGTGAGTTACGAAATTAGCTTTCACAATGATCTCAGAATGGACAAATGATAACTCTGACAGATCAAAGTGAAAACCAGCTTCGCATCAAATAGTATTGAGAAGTCAAGAAAAAATATAATAACTATAATAATTTGAGTGGATAAAATAAAATAATATACATTATATAAAATGAAAAAAAAAATTTTGGTAAAAAATAATATACCTGCCAAAAGTATGGCAATACAAAATTAGACATCACATGAGACTTACTCGTGGATTTCCTACAGACAAAACACATAGTGTACGAAGTAGTTGCACACACATACCTATAGGAGATATACGAAACCACGTGTTCCGTTTCCTGCGTTTCCGGTCGATGAGCGAGACAATAGACGCCCGGCGATCCGACGTCGTGTGCTTTGCCCGTCCGGCGACGGTCGAACTGGATTACCGACTTGAGTTGGAAAAACAATTTATTTCGTTGGAAAATTATAACTAATTGTGAAAAAATATTTTTTTGAAGTGCGGCGTAAATTTTAGCACGTAGGTTGGTGAAAAAAAAAATGATAACCATTTAAAGGAAGACCGTCGTGAGCCGAAAAACCGCGTAACCGACGAAAATATCGTATCCTCGGACGGGTGGGAAAAAGAAAAACTTCGACGAAATAAAATTATTTTTTGAAAAACTGTATTACAACGCGACACGTTCGAGGTTCGGCGCAGAGAGCGAAATAATGTGGCCGTGGAGCAGGAGCGTCGTCAGACACCGCAGACACACGGACGAAGACGCAGCAGACACACGACCCGCTAGCAATAAAACAAAACGGCGACTGCGAACCCGAATCCCGATACCAACTACCGACCGCGCGACTGGCAGCTCCGTATGTATACAGTTTGTACACGTACGCGGCGAAAGGCTGCGTTCGGTTGGTACTACGGTATTCCCCCCCGAATATCAGAACGCTCGCGCTTTAGCCGGCCGGCTGGGTGGCCGGCTGCTCGCTCGCTCGCTCCGCGCACGCAAGCGCACGTCGTATTCCTCGTTCTCGCTCGCACCCATCACGCCCGTGGACGGGCGGACGTTGCGCGCCGATGTGAAGACGAGCGAGCAGCGTTCGCGGGGCGCCGCCAAACCCGACCGAGCACCGTCGATCGCACACATCGCACGCCACACGCACGCACACACGGTGACCGTCGTCCGTACTCCGTTGGCGGCGACGCGACCGTCTCACCCGCTCGCCATCGCCGCGGCGGTTTCATTCAGAAAATAATTTACTTCCCTCTTCACCGCGCGACGCCGTCGATGGGGTGGGTGGGCGGTGTGTAATGCGTATGTGTTTTACCCGGTGGGGGGCGTATGGTGATGCGGAAAGGGGGTTGATGGGCGGCGGAGGGGTCGGCGAACAGCAGACGTACGAACGCGGGCGGCGCCTCCCACCAATCCACACACGCACACGTCGCAGCGCCGTTTAATAAGCGACATTCTTTTTATTCATACACGCACACACGCACACGTCACCCGAATACACACGCACACACAGACACCAACGCTCGTTCCTATGCGTTTCCCGTCGTGGTAATACGCTCGTCTGGACGACGTATGTGTGTGCGTGTGTGTTCATAGGCCGCACGTGACGTCATCGTAGGAAAAAATAGTCCGATGCGACAAAATCGCATTACTGAATAATTGCCACGTGCTCGAGACCGCATATACTATGAAATATCATAACGTTATTATATTGTGCGGGTGTTGAATCATCCCCACACCGAATGCACGCATGCAGCTCTAATTAATTTATCCGCTGAAAGAGGACGTGTTGCTCGGCGGTGGTGTGGCGGCGGCGGCGTTTGTTCGCGTGTGGAATGGTCGGAACAAGGGGGTGGGTTTGCCATGGGAATTTATCGATTTGGTCCGTGGAGATTTCTGAGTAACGGCCGATGATAATTCGCAGAAATATATCATTGTATAAACATGCGCACGCGCGCATACACACACACACGGTGATGTGTAAAATAACAATAATTTATATAAAACCGTCACCGATCGACCGGTGATGACGATGAGGTTCGGTGAAACGGAGGCAATAAACATTCCACTCGAACGATGCATTCACCACCACACGACCGACGCTGCCGACGCGCACACAATATATTACACGCGACGCCACCGGCCGGAATGTTGCGCACAGGTAATAATAACATACTATAATATAATATAATATTATTATATTGTTATTTGTTGTATTATAGTCTTCGTCAGGACTCGCCGGTTTAGGAACACGAACGGGCCGGTATTATGTGGGACCGGTGGAGGGAGAGGAGGACGTCGCGATGTATAATAATATAAGGAGTGAGAACCGGAGAAAAGCATAAGAATTGGAACTCGGCCAATCAAATGGCCCAAACGTGTGTCCCAGTCGCATTAATTAGGTTTAATTGAATATACACGACGGCGTAATGAATAGACGATACGAGTATACGACGGCAAGCTATACGGGAGAGGGGTCGTGTCTCCCTCGGATAGTGTGGCGAAGGTTGTCGGTCAGACTAAAATTAACGTCTGCTGGTGCCCCGGCGGTTACAATATAATATTATAATAAATATAGTATTCGGTATATTACAAGATTATGCTACTCTTTCGTGTCGAACGTCGTTGTACGATTTCATTGTTGCAGATTGTTGTGCTTGTCCACCGCAGACGGCGGTGGTAGACAGAAACGCGAATTGTCTACGTGAAAGTTTTTAAAAACGAAAGGTAAGGTCAATAAACGACGAAAAAGGCGAATTCCTCAAAGAAGACTACTGTTACTACAATTACTACTACTACCGCTACTATACTACTATTATATATCACTATAGCTATAGCCTATAGTATAGCAGATAGCTACTACTGCGTCTGCTATATTCTACTTCCAGTTACTACTATATTATATAAATTATGATGTACGATTGCTACTAGAGACTAGACAATCATTTTAAGAACCTTTTTTATTACTACCCCGGGTCCCCTTCCCACCCCATCCAGCACCTTACTTCCCCAATAATGACATATGCGTACACATCAAACGTACATGTAAGTAAATACTAAATTCACCCTTAGGATCGTATACATGAATTAAACTGCACACATACGCGTCCTCGGGACTACAGGCACAGACATGCATCACGCTGCGCACATACACTATATATTATTATACATATAAATCTAAAGTGGTGTTTCGAAGAAATGCGACATACCGCTGCAACCGCATACCACAGTGCGGGTCGATAACCCTTGCACGGCGGCTTAGCATATACAAACGCATCGACACTTGCACGCACGCGCAACGCACTGACACACACACGCGGTCTCGCGCACACGCAACACACGACAGACCGGTCCTTCGCCGCCGCCGGAATGTGCCCCCCATTCCACTGACCTCCGTGTTCCCACAGCTCGTTGGTGGCCCACCGCCGCCGCCACCACCTCCACAGACGTCGTCGTCACCACCACCTCCATCGATTTTTGCTTGAGTAAAAGCTTTTGGCGGAGCTGTCGTGTCCGGCGAAACTGCGGGCTCGTTCCGAAAGCGACTGCACGAAGCGGACGTCTCGGGCGCTTCGGAGGCGGTGACGGTGGATCGTCAACATTTCGGGACTGCGACGCTTGTGAGAACGTAAGCAGTTTACGCCGACTGCGTGCGACAAACGTCGACCCTGTACCTTGTATATCATAATATATTGAAACCTCTGTTGGTACGATCGACTCATCGTATTTACATCTTTATCATCTTCGTCATCGCATCGACACGATAGGTTCGATACCGTATGTCTGGCCTTTGAGAGACCGCCGGACGAGGGACGTTGAGTCGCGCATGCACCGCACGTGAGATAGAGTGAGAGAGAGAGAGAGAAAGCAGATATAATATGTATAATTCAGAACGTTATTGAGTAGGTATATAATATACGTCATATACACGTGGATAACTGGAACACCGAACAGGATGTGTGCGGTGCGTGAGTGTGTGTCCAAGCATATACACATATACAGTAATAATAATAATATACACACAGATCTATATTATAATATACCGATCTGTGCACGTCACATATATGCACTGTTATATAACTCGCATCATAGCATTTGGCACGCACGTGTGACGTAAAAGGAAACGATCGGAATTTCGCACGCCGAACGTTTTGGATCTCGGCCATCACCACCGTCTTCTCATCGGGGACACTCTTTTTGAAATACGCGTATAATTTTATAATAATATTATATACTATATAGTATAAATTTAGTATATAGTAGTCGTGTGTAGATATTACGCGTAGCGTCAGGACATTAAACATAATACTAGACAATAGTACCTAAATTTAGATGTGTTTTAATAAAATACGAGTACATTAGTGCATAACTATAATAAGTATGTTGAATATTCTTGGCTCTTGCAATATTGTGGCGTACACATTATAATATATACGTCTTGCTGGCCGAAACGAATTTTTAAACGAAACATCCATAGGTATTGCTACATGTGTGATGGCCTCCCATATAGGACTCTCGTCGAAATACTTATATACTTGCAAACCACAGAACATCGTTTGGCACCAATTCTGATTTCTGAGTCGAACTAACAAAAACAAAACTTCCCGGTTGATGCGGCCCATACCTGAGCGCGGCTGCACGCAGGGACTAAGCAGCACTGCAAGTCTGCTGTACTCAGTGGCGGATCCAGGGTTGAATTTTGGGGGGTTACCTAAAAAAAAATACTTCTAAGCCATAAATACAATCATAATGTTCTTGTAGACGTTCCTCAAAATATGAAAGTAATTGTTAAATGAAACATTAAATTTTTATTTTTTATTAGGAATCGTGAATGTTAATTAGGTACCTATATGTTGAACCTGTTGAAGAGGTCTGGGGGAGAGGCCCCTAGGCCCCCCTGAAACCGCCACTGGGCCTACACACATTAATAACAAGAATTCAAACTTATACAAAAAGTATGGAGTGTACTTGAAAGGTGAATTCTGAAAAACTACCGTCAACACTTTAGAGAAGCTTTCGAGACACTTCGTTAATCTTAATATTATGTGTGGTTGAGTAGGTCGATCCTGCAAACAATACGGACTTCAATATAATTACATTATACCCATACAATATAATATTATATTATATTATGTACAAGCGCCATACACGACCCGTTGCAGCCACGCGGTCGGTAATATCGTTATATTAGATATTATTACATTGAATATATATCTGCACGGCTGCACGGATATAATTACATACATATTGCATTATAATATATTACTAGATTAGGTAGCCAGGTAGGAGTGAAAAGGCGTTTGTATTCAAAAGCTGCCAGCGAATATAATTTAAACGATCAAGCGATGTAGTTAAACTAATCTTATATTATAATACTACGCATAATTAATAGAAATAAAAATCGATGTAATTTCTCTATTATAGTTGGATGTATATTATAATTTATAGTTGATTTTGATGACCGATGAGTGCATACGCTTTCCACTCGGTGATCGCGATGGACTGTAAATATAGGTATGTATATAGACTCGAGTTCGAGACTGGCGACTATACGGTCGTAGTAACATACCATCGATTGACACGAGTACACACTACACGACCGTCACCGGGGCCTGAGCACACTATAGACACTATTGTCGTTTCACGAGCAAAATGTATAAAGTATAATATGACGTGTGTGTATATTTGTGTGCAGTGTGTTATATATGTATTTGCCGTGTACTAACGAGCCACACCTACAATATAACAAATAGTATTAAACTAAATATCGGGACTCAGCGGCGGCGACCACACTATACGAGGACCAACCGAGGGATAACTACCATTTGTTTGTATTTTCAGTAGACGTATTGACATTTTACATTTTTTACTCTAGTCACATTCACAATATTATACAGGGTGTATCTTATGTCATTGTACGCGGGGTTTTTGACGATTACGGAACGATAATGGAATTTCGTTAAAACGAAAAAAGACGTGTTTCTTTATTTTTAACAAAGCAATTTTTTATAACAATTTCAAATTTTTAAACACGCAGGTGTACCAATAGCAAAATCAACTTTTTTTCAAATGGTAACCACTATATTTTTAATGGATTCTGGTAAAGCTTTTTTTTCTGAACATTTTGGTAGTCAAATCGTCAATTTTGGTTCGCTAGTTATTTAACATATGTCCTCCAAAGATTAGTAAAATAGCATTAATAATTTGTAAATGGTATTCGATGTTGACATTATATGTGCAATG